GATAGAATTTTTATGATTTTATGTATGAGATATGATCTGATGGGTGGGATGGGGGTAATTATGATATTGTAGGTATTACACGACTCGGCTATGGATCGGGACACCTCCGCAGAGATTTGCTCTTATAGTTGACACGGGAAGTACAGTTACTTATGTTCCATGTGCTACCTGCGAACTGTGTGGCAAGCATCAGGTTATTCCTCATTTTTCTGAATGTCACTTGTGCAACCAAATCTATAAATGTATTATAATGAAAGTTGAGGTGTTGCTATGGTGCAATTTTTCTTATTTGACCTTTACAAACATATTTGAGAGTTTATTATTTCGTGTACCTATCTTGATGGAAATTATAATTGATGGGGTTTTTAAACTAATTGTGAAAGTAAGGTAGTCGAAAGTTGGGTTATTCGAAAATGGCCCAGGTATTCAGAAGATCTATCTCGTGTTTGGTATATAAATTTCCTCATTTTAGATCCGTATGTTGATCTTATTCATTGCCTAGAGCGATCAAAATACCATCCAAGGAAATAGAGTAGCCAAAAATAATAAGAGAAGGAATAAAAACCAAAGAGAGCGACGGAACAGTTGAAGGGATCCCATATCAATGGATTACCATTTTTTGTGGGAGAAATCGACAAATGGAACTTTGGTCTAGCAATTTTCATTCACCAAAACCGGGTGGAACTTTTAATACTTTGTTTTATAATTTTGCTTTTAATTGTGGATAACAATTCTTTCTGCTTTTTATCTCTTTTTCATTTTTTTGAAACTTCTCGTGCCTTTTACTTTTCTGAACTAAGAATATCTAATTTCCGTCCTTGAGTTTGGCTTGCAAGACTCACGGGTTGAACAGGATTTGTACAACTGGCAAGATATATTTGGTTTCTTTCCACTCTTTATTTGCTTTTCATACTATTCATATTTCATGTAAAATTTGCACTTTGTCGAGGCTTTTGCCTCTGTTCAATACATAATGATGGAAGCTAACTTTGGTCGGTTAATCTGACCAGTTCATTGATGGTCTGCACGTATGATGGTCCTAATGATAATCCTGCATGTTTTTCATGTGTTATGTTTATATATTCTTTGAATAATTGCGTAGATTTTTTTTTGCTTTCAATAGGATCCAAGGTTTCAGCCAGAACTGTCAAGCACCTACCAACCTGTGAAGTGCAATATTGATTGCAGCTGTGATAATGATAGAGAGCAATGTACATATGAGAGGCAATATGCTGAAATGAGTTCTAGCAGTGGAGTGTTGGGTGAGGACATTGTGTCCTTCGGCAACCAAAGTGAACTCCCACCCCAACGAGCTGTTTTTGGCTGTGAAAATATGGAAACAGGTGACCTTTACAGTCAACATGCTGATGGCATTATGGGTCTGGGTCATGGAGATCTTAGTATTGTGGATCAGCTTGTTGATAAAGGTGTTATTAGTGACTCATTTTCCCTGTGCTATGGTGGTATGGATGTGGGTGGTGGAGCAATGGTTCTTGGTGGAATTATACCTCCCAGTGACATGGTTTTTGCCCGTTCAGATCCTGATCGCAGGTATGTTTTGAGAAATGTTAAAGTATCACAATTTGTTAGGTATTTTACTCACAAAATATACTTGTCACATCTCACACATTTACTCTAGTTTTGGGGTGGTAACAGTCCATATTACAATATTGATCTGAAGGAGATACATGTTGCTGGTAAGGCGCTTCCTTTGAGTCCTAAGGTTTTTGATGGTAAACATGGTACCGTTCTTGATAGTGGTACAACTTATGCATACCTGCCTGAATCGGCATTTGCTGCATTTAAAGATGCCGTAAGATTTTTCTTGACTTATTTATTTCCTGTTCTTTATTTCTGAATCATACTGCTAATCCAAAGCTTTGTATCATTATTGTGCCTCCGTACTCTAATGTTTTCTAGTTATGCATTCAGATAATGAAGTCAGTCCACTCCCTCAAACAGATCAAAGGTCCTGATCCAAATTACAATGATATCTGCTTTTCTGGTTCTTCTAGGTAATATATTGTAAAATCAATCTAAATAGTAAAATATGCACTTTTCGTTACTTTTGTTTCATAAGTTAAATGCTTGTGTTGCTTCAGTGATAGTTCACAACTCTCAAAAACCTTTCCATCTGTTGACATGGTATTTAACAATGGACAGAAACTATCAATGTCTCCTGAAAATTACTTGTTCAGGGTAGGTGCTATCCTTGTCTTCATATTTTTTGAAGCATTGACATTGAAATCAAATATTCCTCTGTGATAGCTAATGATTACATTTCTTTTCTGTTTCTTCTCGCATTATTTCTTTATTTTTGTAATACAGCACTCCAAGGTGCGTGGTGCATATTGCCTTGGAGTTTTCCAAAATGGGAAGGATCCGACCACTCTTCTCGGAGGTACTTTTATCACTATCATGTGCTTTAATGTTAATTGTTTAATGTCCATATGTATGTATACACACACACACACACACACACACACTTACATACTGCTATTATCATTGACAATCTTCTTTAATTTCTCCATTACTTTTATTCCTGTGATTTCACGACATTCTTTGCCATGTAACAGGAATAGTTGTTCGCAATACTCTAGTAACATATGATCGTGAACATGAGAAGATTGGTTTCTGGAAGACCGATTGTTCCAAGATATGGGAGAGACTTCACATATCCACTTCACCTGCTCCGCTGCCTACAATCTCAAATACGACAAACACTACTACAGATATGGCTCCTAGATTGGCTCCAAGGGAACCGCCACGATATGATATTCCAGGTACAGAAAGGTTCTTTTTGCTCTCTTATATGTGAATTTATTGTGATCAAGAAGCATTTTTGCTAAAGCTTAGGAGGTTGACAATAGTTTACCATATTTTGTCATTAATTTACATCTCCATTAGTTCAGGTGTATTGAAAATGATCCACTCTCCTCTCTTTTGGCAGCATTCCCATGTTTGCGCAGAATTTATAGATTCAACTTTACTCATTTCTAGCATACTTATTTTCATCTCCTCTTTGTAACAATTCTTTGTGTTAAATTTCTATCCACAATAAATCTCTTTCTAATCTCTTATGTACTCATAGTGATCTTTCCTAAACTTCACATCTCGATGATCTAAACTAAAGAAAACATCAGTGTTGGAATAAAGGTTTGTGCATCAAGCCATCAACTATCGATTTCTTTTCTGTTTTCCATTGAGTATGTTCCCATTTTTATTGAGGATAATGCTTATCTGGTTGTATCCTTGAGTGGACTAACATTATCCCTGCTAATTCATGTTTCTTTGCTCGCCATCTGTGCTATTACGTGCAGTTGACAGTGCTTTAAGGGTTAAATAGTCTTTTTCTTTGAGCTAGTCATGGAGAAAGGATCGAAATTGGAAAAATCCAATGTTTTATGATCATCAATTTTAGTCAATATCAATGTCTTTTACAATGTAACCTCTAACTGCTCCATACAAAAGATTTAGGTTAATAACCTCTTGCAGGAATATATTAAGGCACATTAGGAACTTGTCAATAGATTCAAAAATAGAGTGTGGCATACAGAGAAAATCAAATCCACTGATATGGGATCTTTAATTCTAGCACCATTTATCAGTTAGCACATGTTTGGGAGCCATTTTGGTCAACTTTTAATACATTTTTTGCCTGTTCAAAGGTACTTGGGACCCATCTTTGCAATAATTATTGACTGAATTTTATTTGGAGGGGCACATTGGTAATTTTACAGCCATTCAGTCAATAATAACTGCACCCCTTTCTGACAAACATTGTATAACGGATGGAATTCGTATAAGAATTTTCTCCAAAATGCATAACAGACATGCGCCTAGGTGGAGCAAAAAGAAGAATACCTAGAGGGAGGGAGGAATAGTGCTTCAAGTGTGTAGATGGGTAATTAGTACGTTCGTTCTACCTTTCAAAATAGCTGATATATTGGACTTATATATGAGATAATAACTCGGTAACCAAGAGAGTTGATGTCCAAGTTTTATCTTCATATAGGCTGCTGCAAAACCTGCCATACTACTTGTGATAGCTTATAAAAATAGGGAATTCAATGAGAAAAGAGAGAAGTATATATTCACTCTTCTTAATTTAAGTTGTCCTTTGATTTAGTTTATCCTCAAGGTGTTACAGAACTAGATTTGTTTATTCTAAAGGTCTACTAGAAAGCAACTTACTACTTCAAAAATTGATTAAAAGGTGTAGAAAAATAAGGTAGACTTGTAGATATAATTATTTTTATTTAGCAAAATGACATCATAAGGTTACTTGAGAATTGCTATGGTTGGAATATTATAAAGAAAGAACCTATAATTAGATTAATCGATACGATTAAACATACATACGAAGGAGCTGCATAAAGTGTGAAATTTAGTGAGGCTAGTCTTGTATATACTTCCATCGCTAGGTTTTAGTTTTATGTGACTTTATTATAATTTTAGAGGGACACGTAAGTATATTAAGATGGAATATACGGATCCACGTATTAGTGAAGAACAAAGATGTTTGTGAATTTAAAATACCTAAAATCTCATTTAGTCGTATTAAGAACAAAGATGGCAGTGAATTCAAAACCGAGAATTATGTTTTAAGTTACCTAGGCTTGATTACCATAAAGGAGAAGATGGTTGTAAATTGGAATGAAAGTATAAAAGATTTACATTCTACTTTCTCACTTACAATTACAATCAAGCCTAGGTAACTTAAAACATACAATCATACAAGGTAACTTTCCAAACATGAAAAAGAGGAAAATTACCTAATCTAAATAAGGTTATACAATCATACACAATGAATATAAATCATCTAAATAAGGTTATAAAATCATACGCAATCAATATAAATCAATCCCTTAATCTCCCATAATCTCAGGATTTCCACACTTCCCCTCAAGTTGGATTGTAAATGTTGACCATATCCAGCTTGCAAATGAAATCCTTGAAATTTCGTTGTAGTAATCAGTTGGTGAAGATATCTGCCTTTTATTCTTTTGTAGGCACATAGGTCATGCATATAGTCCTATCTTCAACCTTTTTTTTAATAAAATGTCTGTCAACTTCCACATGTTTGGTTCGATAATGTCGAACTGGATTAAGGGAGATGTTGATAGTTGTTTTGTTGTTGCAATAGAGTTTGATTGGAAGTTTTTTCATGTCCGACAATACTTCCAGTGGTTTCTTTTATCGACAATCATTCGCATATTCCTTGTACGATAGCTCTAAACTCTATTTCAGCACTGATTCTGGCTATCACATTTTGCTTCTTACATCTCCAATCTACCAAATTTTCCCATACAAAGGTACAATAGTCCATAGTTAATCTTCTATTAAGGCAAGCCAATCTACATTAGTATTTACTTCTACTTCTTTTCTTTCATTTTTCTTGAAGAGTCCCTTTCTAGGAGTTTTTTTGAGATATCTGAGAATTCTGTATACTGCTTCTAAATGAGCTTCCTTTGGAGAGTGCATATGTTGGCTAACCACACTAGCTGTGAATGTAATATCAAGTTTAATGTGTGAGAGAGAGATCAGTTTGCCCACTAGTTGCTGATATCTATCATTTTAAACTGATTCTCCTATGTTCTCTTCTTTTCTTCCTACCTTTGTTGGTGTGTGACTTGGTTTACAGCCATGCATACTAGTTTCCGTTAGAAGATCAAGAATGTACATTCATTGTGAAACAGTGATACCTTTCTTTGATCTGGCTACGTCCATTCCCAATAAGTATTGCATCTGTCCCAAGTCTTTTACTTCGAAATCCATAGCTAAGCTTTTTTAAGCCTTTCTATTTCCACTACATTATCTCTTGTCAATAATGTCGTCAACATATACCATTAGGATTGTTTTCGTCCCTATTTCAGATAGTTGGTAGAACGTTATGTGGTCTGACTGTCATTATCGATATCCTTGACTTCTTAATACTTTAGCAAATCTGTCGAACCATGCTCTCGGTGATTGTTTGTGACTGTACAATTTTTTTTTTTAGTTTACACCTTATTTTCTTCATCGCTTTCATAGAAGCCTGTGGTAATGTCATGAAGACCTCTTCTTCTGATTCCTCATTTAGGACAGCATTCTTAATGTCAAGCTGTTGAGGAGGCCAATCCAAATTTATTGCTAAAGATAACTTGGATTGTATTCAATTTTGCTATAAGAGCTAATGTTTCCATATAGTCAATGCATTGGGTCTGTGTATATGCTTTTGCAACAAGATGAGCTTTGTATCGTTCTATTGTCTTATCAAATTTGTACTTCACATAAAAACATTCGCACCCCATTGGCCGTTTCTCCCTTGGTGAATATTATTTGGAATTTCTGTATTATCAAGGTTACAAGAGAAAGTGTGAAATCCTCCAGATAGCGTCATATGAAACAAATTTTGAGATCAGATGATGGTACATGACGAAGGCTATTTTTTGAGAGCAATAGGTTGATCACTTTCTGAGGACTCATTTTTATCTGAAGGAGCCTCATGGAGATCTAGAACTATCATCGGTTCTAACTTTTTTGATGCTTCAGGTGTGAGGTTCTCTTTATTCATTGACTTTAGCTTTCTTAAGTAAATTGATCTCTCCTTGCTAACTTGCTTTCGTGCATCTCCCCTTGAGTTGAAGTTTTCCTTTGTAAATGGCATGTTAGGACAAGGAATAGTGATTGATTTAGTGTTTATGGTAGGTTCAGTAGGAGAGAGATTAAAGTCGAAGAACTGATCTTTATTTGAGAACCGTTCTTCACTCAGATTCTCCCCCTGAAGAGAGGGCTTTTTGTAGTATAGGTTCTTTCGAAAAACGTGATGTCAATGCTAACAAATATTCTTCTCGTGGATGGATATTGCATTTGTAGCTCTTTTGGGTAGATGAATATCTAAGTAGAACACATTTAGTGCACGAGGATTGAGTTTACTTCGGTGATGAGAATGTATATGGACGAAGGCATTACAATCGAATATTTGGAGGGGCAAGCTCGAATCAAGACGGGAATTAGAAAAGAATTCCTGAAATATTTTGAGAAGTGATTTGAATTAGAGAGTACGACTGGGCATTCAATCAATAAGATAGGCCGATGTTAAAATGATATCTCCCTAAAAAATTTAGGCATATTTGTGGTGAATATCAAGGCACGAGCCATATCACGGAGGTGTTTATTTTTCCACTCAGTAATTCCATTTTGTTGGGGAGCATTGACGCAAGAATTTTGATGAATTATTCAATGTTTTTGGAGATATTCTTTCAAAACAGTTTTGATTGTCAGTACGCAATACTTGAATTTGTTTCTGGAATTGTGTTTGAATAATTGAATGGAAATTTATAAATACAATTTGGACATCCGAATTTTTTTTAGGAGGTAAACCCAACAAATTTTATTATGGTCATCTATAAATGTTACAAACCATTTTGTGTGTGTTCAATTTGAATTCGTGAAGGACCACATAAATCACTGTGAATGGTTTCGAATGTTTGTATGTAGATTTTAGGAAAGTGGTATGATGGTATTTTGCCAGTTACCAATTCTCACATTGGATATCAAATGTCAGTTTATTAGAAAAGGAAATACATGATGTAGATACTGAAAGTTGGGATGACCCATTCTGAAATATCATAACAAAAGTTCACGTAGGAACAAAAACAGAATCATAAGTGACAATTTAATTATGCTTACTCACATCCAACTCCTCAAAGTAGTAAAGTCCCCTACATTCCTTGTAATTATCAATCATCGATGATAGATCCTGAAAAATACAATAAGACAGAAAAATTTAGCTAAGTAATTGAAATTTTTTATTAATTTGCTAATTGACAGTAAGTTGCAAGATAGATTTGGAATGTGAAGAACGGACTCCAGGGTTATAAAATTAGAGATTCAAAACGCTCCCTTTTCCTGCTACAGGTGAGAGTGAGCCGTGTGTGATTTTAACTTTGATATTGCTACGACAAGTTGAATGTGTGGAAGAAAAGGTGGTAGGAGCCCGTCATATGCAGACGCACCTGAGTCGATAATCCAGGGTGCTTTTGATTGAGTAATTGTACGTAATGCTCTAAAAAAATTACCTTTATGGGCTAGTGAACTTGATGAACCCGATGATTGGAAACTTAAATATTTTATATAGTTGCTCCAATTGTTCAAGATTGAATGTATCGCTCTGAGTAGAGTTATTTTTTCTTCGAGAGGATCAACTGCTTGATAACCCTAATTTCTGTTATTATCTTGGTCTCCAATTAGCTGGTTTTCCATGTAGATCCAAACATGTATCTTCTTCATGCCCTGATTTGCAACAAGGATCCTACCAAGCATGTCTCCTCTGTTGTTTTGGGTCAAACCCGTTAGTGGGCGTTCTTTTAGAAATCAGGCCCATTTTTCACTAGGCCCAAGCCATTTAGCTCAATTTAATGCTGGTCCTCTAGGAAATTGGGTTGACCGATAACCTTTGGGTAATTGGGCTGACCTACCAAGCCCAAGGTCTTTTGATAATAACGTAGACCAGTTGCTTCTTTAAGCCCAGAGTTTTTCCCTTTTCAATTGCGAACTTCGGCAAAAGCTTCACGAAATGATGGTAGGGGTTGTCGGCCAAAAACTCTACCTCTTACATCATCTAACTTCCTATTAAGCCCGGCTAGGAATTCGTATGCCTGTTCGTTTTTAGCTTCTTCCGATACCATACACCATCGGTCGGGCAATCCCATTCTTCATCAACGTTGCGATCGAGTTCCTGGTTAGGGGTAGAGCCTGAAAATTGTTTAGTGCGGGCACAATTTAGTCAACTCCTTAAGCTACTCAAGTATGCTAGAATTACGTGCCAAAAGTACATTTTGATACACAGTCTATCAATTGCAGTATAGTATTATTTATCATTTTAACAAAAATTGTAAATACAATCTTTTTACTAGTATAACTTAGGGAAACATTTTACAATAGAAGCCAAAAGTTGAAAACTTTGCAGTGCTAGACAGCACAGTACAAAAAATGTCATTGCAATTATTTCATTGGGTTCGCTAGCTCAAATTTTGTGGAGTTCCAAAATGATTTCATTCACATTTAAACTGAATATTCACAAATTGCACTTCTGAATTCTAATTCGAATCAAGATACAATGAACCCTTGTGTACTTCCACTGGAAACATCTATTTAAACACAAAAAGCTGAAGACAACCCAAAAATTTTCATTCTAAGAATTCAACATAGGAAAGCAACGAGAAAACATATAGAAATTATAGATTCCTACTTGGTTTAGAGCTTTGAAAGGCATGGATAATTTATCATCATCTTCACGGACTAATATCCACAAGAATTTATATACAAGATTTCAAAATTTTGCTGTCTAACATCTCAAGAGATGCTTTAGCATCAAGCTTTGGCTGTGTTTTGGTAGAAACCGTGGTTAAACAACGATTTGAGTTTTCAATAATAGTTGGATTACAACTCCTTGCCTTCGGACGATTGGAAGATGACTACAAAGGTTGAATACGGGATTTAGGGTTTATTTTAGTAAAGACTTGCGACAACAATGCAATTGAGTAGAAATTAGGATTTTGAAGAACTGTAATCGAGTGAGATCTGGTATTTTGATTGTATTGGATTGAGGTTGTAGATATAAGAAAAATTAATTAATGTAGAATTTGAATATTTTATTTTAAGGCCCTGTAGGGTTAGGATTTTGAGAATTTATTTTTTTACCGTTAAGAGAAAAGTGAGGATCACCTGGGAGAGAAAAAGTCAAAAGGTACGTCAGAAATAGTTAAATAACGGTCAAAAAATCAATTTTTTTGAGTGAAAAACACTCCCAAACATCCCATAAATTGGTAGCTTGTAGAGTTACCTCAAAAAAAAAAAAAAAAAAAAAAAAAAAAAAAAAAAAAAAAAAAAAAAAAATAAAATTAAATGGGGATAAAAAAAAAAAAAGAACAAAAAAAAAATTGAATTGAATTGAGCTGGACCCAAAGTTCAGTGCAGGCCTGTGCGTGCACTGGACTCCGCCTCTATTCTTGGTGAAGACATCTCTAGGTAGTGGTCTATCACATCTCTCTCTTTTTGCTTCGTCTGTTGGCTTTTAGTTTTAATCTCAAAAATTTGGGAGGAATTTTTAGTGTGTGAACAAATGTCTCGATCGGCATCCCACACTTTCTTTGCCATCGGTAGAAATAGATAAGTCTTTCCAATTGGAGGTTTCATGGAATTAACCAGCCACCTTCGTTTTTGTTGAAGTTTGATGTCGGTTGAGGCGGGCTTTTTCTTCTCTCTGGAAATGTATCCTAGCTCCCTCTTTTCGTCAAAGATGAGTTTTATTGACTGAGCCCATTCTCGATAATTTTTTCCATTCAACTTTTCAAACGTGAGTTGGAAAGAGGAATTATATAGTCCATCTGAGCCCATGGTGGAAAGGGATTCAACCTCACTGTTGGGTGTCTCTGAGGTTGTTGACTACTTATTGTTGGTGGCATTTTCCTCCATCGACTGCGTGGTAGGCTAGGATAGACTCTAGCTCTGATACCATGTAAATTGGAACGATAGTATAAAAGATTTATATTCTACTTTTTCACTTATAATTACAATCTCAGAGTCTCAATATATAGTATAGGAAGGAACCAACGAGGTAACTTCCTAAACTTGGAAAGAGAAAAATTACCTAATCTAATTATGGTTATACAATCAACCACAATCAATACAAATCAATCCCTTAATCTCCCATAATCTCGGGATTTCTACAATGGTAAAATGCATTAGAGATTGTACTGGATTTGACAAAATTTAGATATGCTCTATCAATTTACTGTGAGAAGATTTTACCCTCTGAGTTTAAAAGAAAGTTGTATGTATTAGACCAGTTACTATATTATTATTCAGAGTATTTGATTTAAGTTCAATGAGTTATTAAAATGGATGTGTATCCATACTAGAATGGAAAATAATAAAAGAAGTAATATGCTGACAGTTGAGATGATAATAATTTGAAAGAAACTAAGGGGAATGATGACGGTAATTGGGACATGCTTATGTGGTGTTGTTTGCCTTAAGCAAAAAATACCTTGCGTTGCTTTCTTATTGGTGATTTAGTTCAAGAGTTTGTATGCTGTACGATCATCTGGGTGATTGGTGATTGGAATGACAGGGAATGGTTATCGTACCAGGTTTCTTCATTTCCCATCAAGTTCGACTGAAAAAAGTTTTAATTTATTACGTAGTGCTGTGATCAACAAGATACAATGCATATTCTAGTGGATCAATAATGAGCAGCTTATTGAATTGTAGCATAAAAATACATCTACCTCTTGATCTATCCAAATTCTGTCAATGGTATTGGTTATCATGATTTTTCTGAGTTTTGTAGTTGGGCTGATCTGGGGCGCTCCACTGGTTTTATACATAATTAATGGCTACCAGATGCTAGTGAATGTGAAATTATATCTGGGTATCATGCTATCTTCCACATGCATTCACCACCTATATTTATTATCTGTGAAGTATTTTTTGCTGATTTGTAGATTAGATTTCATTAGTGAAAGGAGATAGTTGTTAAACATAGTTACACGTCTGAAGAAATTCGTGCCTTTAGTGGATGATTATAGATTCTAATGGTGTCAAATGATGATAGTAATTTGAGCTTTACACAGGCAATTGATATTTGTTAATTCTGTATATTGCTGATGATTCTTTGATTTTACTGGGTTTTACTTGATCTTCAATCTGCAGGGGTGATTAAAATAGGACTCATTACATTTTATATGTCATTGAGTGTGAAATACTCAGACTTGAAGCCTCACATCTCAGAGCTTGCCAAGTTCATTTCAGAGGAGCTGGCTGTTAATGTTTCTCAGGTAGATAAATTCAAATTGCTAATCTTGCAGGAGTTAATATGCACAATGTTTCTTAGGAAAATTAATTCAAGTTGCCAATCATGCAGGTGTTATTAATTGCATTTAAATGATTATGTATTTGTTAAAACCTAAATTAGAATTACTCATCTTTATTTCTTGCATGTTATACGAAGTTACCTCAGGCTGACTTTGGAATGAATTTTACAGGTTCGCTTGATGAATTTCACGTCTAAAGGGAACGATAGCCTCATTAGATGGGGGATTTTCCCACCTCAATCTGATGATTACATTGCTAATGCGAGTGCAATGGTGAATTTTGCTTGCTTCAACAGCAGAAAACTTTGTTCGCTTGTTCACATTCAATGACTTCTCATGTTTTCTACTTTAATGGCAGGATATTATTGCCAGGTTGAATGAAAATCGTGTGCATCTTCCTGATAGCTTTGGAAGTTACAAATTGTTTAAATGGAAAATTGAGCCCCCACCAGAGAGGTAATGTTTACAATGTTGTGTTTGTCTCTTCAACTGCCTGCGCAAACCTTTCTACACCCCCCCCACCTGGTGTTTGGCTGGTTACTTTGACATGTAAAACCCGGATATCGAAACTCAAGATGAGGATATTCTTTTAGTGGGCACTTGTATTCTTTCTTTAGTATAAAAATGATACAGTATATCTCTCCATTAATGCCGAATTTTGCTGCAATGATTCAGGACATGGTGGCAGCAACATTCGGTGACTATAGTTTCAACATCCGTTGTTTTGATAGTATTAGGATTATTGGCTTCTGGGCTATGGTTTCTTTGGAGGAGAAGGGAACAATCTTTAGTTACATACAAGCCTGTTGATTCTGCTGTTCCCGAGCAAGAACTCCAACCGATATAATAAAAACCAATGCTAGTTAAGATGGTTTTAGGCAAAAGTATAGTAATATGCTATGGGATATCGCACTGGTTTGATCGGAGTACAAAAAGAATCGTACTGAGCATTAGGTTTTCCAGTGTCTTAAAGTTTATCCAAGTTCCGTTACAAATGTGAATAGGTGACAGTTTTTGTTTGAGCATAACCAATTTATATGGATATGTCTTATGTGAATACATCTGTCATCTAATCAATAGATTTGCCTACAGCTGATATCCCATTTTGTTTTCACAATTTCTTTTCTTGTTTTAACTTTGTAACATAAATGAAACTCGAATGCTTCTTCGTAACTGTTAACTACGCGTTCCGGCATATCAAATACCAAATATATGAATGAATGAAATATACAATGAGAAAATTTCTTCGAAGGATTTTATTTTGACTATTGATATATATTTTGCCCATGGTGTGGTTCCATTTTAAAAATATATTTTTCTCTCTCATCTTTTTAATCATACGTTTTTCAGTAAAATATTATTATAGGTAAATTCAACTCTATTTTTTAACAATACATTCTCTAAAAATTTACTATTTTTAAATATATTTTTCTCCAAAATATATTTTTAATGGAGCCTAGACAAGGGCTTTATCTTTACTACAATCAATGTATATTCATTCCCTTATATCGATTTTGACATTCCCTTTGCTTTCAAAAAAATGGAGGTAAAACTTAAAAGAAAAAAAAAAAGAAAAAAACTGTCCAATGGTGTGTTGGTAATGGCACAATATAAATAGTTATGTTCAGAGATTATGTATACGTGGCAAGATTGTAAATTAGTTTATTTGTTGAAAGTGAGTTGTTAATCGACTCAATTTTTGACTCATCAAACACTCTCTCTATTGTTTTTCTTTTCATTTTTCTCATATTTATTTTGATTTGAGTTTTTCTGCAAACAATTATTAATTACAGAGTCCTGAATGTTATAAATTTGAAAATTTGAACAGTACGTTACCATGAAAATATAGGTAGGAAACTCCTTGCTTCATCTTTGACTTTCAGAGTTTGAACCTCCTCCTTTTGTAGCCAAACAATTGGTTGATGTAAGTTGGGTACATTTGCTTCCCTTTGGTGGAAGATTGATTTTCTCACTAAAGGTATTATTCTAATCACAATTTCAATCTATCTAAACATAAAGAAGATTCTTGAAAAGAGTTGCAATTAAAAATTCCGTTGCTCATATATATTTAAATTCCCAATAATTGTATCAAAGCCGACCTTATGTTTGTTAGAATTTATTTTTGAATCTTAGAATAATTAATAATTGATATTATTTTATTCTTTCTAGTTTTTAAGAAAATTATTTTTACCTTCTAAAATCTACTTTTGATAAAAAATTAAAAATAAAAATTTGGTCGATAAATCGGGTTGGAGGCGAGTGGGTTAGTGATGATAGTAGTCATTGCTATCATAGGTAGCGCGCAAAGCAGCAGGCTCTGCTTTGCAGCTTACAGTGACGGGTGTTGCTGCTAATAGTAGCAGCAGTGTCGGCTATTATGCAGTAGTGCATGGGCTGTTGCCTTTGTAGTGCACCGTGCATTGTCTAATTGATGGTGAATCGTCACTTTTGATATCTACGGCACGGCCTTGTGAAGTCGCGGCATAAGTTTAGGGTTTGGGTTTGATTTGGGTCGAGGCAGTTGATATAATTACTGAAATTGTAGGCCCCTGATTGAAATTTCAAATTAGGGGCTAGTTTGCAAAGTTTAAAGAAAAGGGCTTGTTCTACAATTTATGAAATTGGAAGGCCCTATTTATAATTTTAAAATTAGGTTGGAATGTAATTTTCGAAAATTTGAAAGCAATTTTGAAAAAGGATATAAATTTGATTTTAAAAAAGTTTTGACTTATTGTTTCAATTTTGACCCAAATTAAAATTTTATTTAAGATTTACAATTTGAAAAATTATTCATAAAATTGATTTTTAACTTAAATTTAGAACTTTGACCCTAAATTGTATTTTATCTTATTTAGGAGTATTATTCAAAATCAAAATATTAATTTAATTCATTCTAGAATTTTGGAATTAGAGTTGGACTGTAATTTGGTTTTGAAATTTAATTTTAATTAAATAAATCCACACTTTAATTTTTGGAATTAGAGTTAGATTGGTATTTAATTAAAATTGATTTTATTTAAATAAACTCATCCTAGAAATTGTAGAATTAGAGTTAGACTCTAATTTGGTATTTAATTAAAATTTAATTTTCATTAAATAAACTCTATAATTAAATTAATTGATTAATTCAATCAATTTATTAGGTGTTCCCATATATCTATCTAAATTAATTTAGACGGCCTTAATTGTTAAAATTTTGAAATATATTCATAGATAATATTATAAATTATATAGGAATACATTTATATGATGAATGCATATTTAGTGGATGATTATTGATTCGATCATGTAAAAGGGTTAAATGATTAGTTTTAATTCTTGTTATTTTGGGCATGTGAGCTCTTATTATTTTGGACCTGGGAATCCGTTTAGATATTATGGGTCGCATGTTCAATTTTTTTAGGCATATGTGATAACTAGTATAGGATAAATGTTGAAACTAGATTAATTGAAAAGGCAAGAAAAAGGAGGAGACATCATTGGGCTTGATACATAGTGATGTATGTCGACCCATGTCAATTGTTGTTAGATGGGGTCTATATTATTTCATCGCCTTTGTTGATGACTATTACAGAAATGATTATTTATACTTCATGAAATTCAACCATGAAGCTCTTGAAAGGTTCAAGATATTCAAGCTAGAAGTAGAGAAACAATTAGGTAAATGTATTCTCATATTAAGTTTTGATTGAGGTAGAGAATATCTTAAAGATTAATTTTCAAATTGTCTAAAGGAAAATGAGATTTTTTTGCAGTGGACTTCGCCATACACACCACAAAATAATGGTGTATCTGAAAGGAAGAATTTGCACTACTGGATATGGTGTGGTCTATAATGAGCCATGCAAGCCTCCCAAAATGGCTTCCCAAAATTATTTTAGAGTTATGTACTGATTGTTTCATTTTACACACTTGATCATGTCTCATCTAAATCGATTGAAAAAACTCCTTACAAGTTATGGAAAGGAAGAAAGTTCAACTTGTTTCATATAAAATTTGAGCCATGACACTCATATGAAGTGCACTAAATCAAATAAGCTAGAATCTAAGTTCGATAGATACATATTTGTGCGATATTTAAAAGTGACATTTGGATATCAATTTTATAATTTCATTACAAAGAATTTCTTTTTTTCAAGACATTTCGTCTTTCTAGAGAAAGAGTAAATTCTAGGAGAAAATTAGAATCTGAAGGAGTTCAAGAATCAACATATAGTTGATCAAGTAGATGAACCTAAGTTTGATTTCACACTTGTTGAGGGATAAATTCTTGATTAATAAGTATAGACTCTTGAGGACACGTCAGCTGCGCATAAATCTAGTAAGATCATTCGACTTCTTAGAATGTAGGAATTCACTTTACTAATCGAGGATGATGAACCTATTAATTATGTAAAAATAAAGTCAATTGTTGATTTAAAGGGATGGCAGGAGCTATGGAAGATGAATTCAATATATGTAGACAAAGTTTGGACCTTGGTTGATCCACCTAGTGGGATGAAACCCAAAACATAGTAAATGAGTTTACATAAAAGCGGTCGACATGGATAGAAATATCCGTATATATAAAGTAAGACTAGTAGCAAAAAGTTACCAACTATAGAATTTGTTTATTTTACTCCAATTTCTCCGATACACCTTTTTTTTAGTATTCTATAGTTTTGCTCGTAAAAAAATGTTTTTCACTATCAACACTCTCAAACTTTTTGCCATCTCTTAGATAGTTTTGTAGTTGACATTTTCTTTAACAAGCAGCGACACTGTAAGGATGAAATGTCAGCCTGCACCTCTGTCGAAGTTTCCTCTCTCTACCGCTTAGGATTGATAACACTATCTGGTGGACAATCGGTACCTTCTCTAACTTCCACTTCTGATGTCTTTATCTGCTCCAATTTCTCTTCAGTTTGACTCATGATTCTAAATTTTCGAAGAATTTGGACTTTTTATAATGTAACCTAATTTAATGGTTTACTTTGCTCAAATTTTCCATACGTGGAGCCAATTGATTGACAGTAAAAATAGGATCAAACAATTTATTTGATGAAACAATTACAATCAAAGATGAAATACAAATACAATCAACAAATTTTCGTATCAACTATGAATATCACCTTATAAATTCACTAGTTTAGATGTTTCTATTAGAACAAGAAGGGAAATAACTATTTAAGAGGAAGATATTTGAATTGCATGCTTTCTTCTTCAAATGAGTGGATATTTATAGATTTTCCTCCAAGTATTGGGATAATCTGGTAATTTTGGAGAGGAAATAGGTGGCGATTCCTTAATGGCTACTTCATAACTAATTCAATTATAGAATCACATTTTACTTATTTTCCCCACATGCTCTTATTGACAACCTGTAGCGAGCCTGGATGTGAAGAATGGTTCACAACTTCCTTCGCTTCGTCGGTAACAAGCTTAGCTCGCTGATTGGCCCTTCGAGGGCTAACAACAAAATTGTTGGCGAGTTACAATATGAGGGTATTCAAGTAGGGATTAAACGTAGGAGTTGAAGAATCGAAGGGTAGAAAGGGGATCCTAGAATTTCCTCCATTGCTCGATGAAGAAGGCCATGAATCAGAATTCGACATATTAGAACTTGATGTAGAGTAGACCCCCAAATTTTGCTATTTTCAAAAACCCATGAGAAATTAATAATATCGGAATGAAAAAGCTGCAAAAATATTGATATCAGAATGAAGATTTGTTTCTTTATGTAAAGTTGTATGCTTCTAGCATAGGTCCTCGAAAGTTTAAAGTGTATGCTTTCAAGGACCTATGCCAATTGATGTATACTCCACCATTTGTAAACAACTCATTGAGGAATTAATGATGTTGTTGGGGGCAAGAGGACGAGGAGAGAAAAGATTTTTTTTTCTTTTTAAATTTTAATTTTTTTAATTTTTTTAATAGGACTCTTTCGCACTTTTTGAAAAATGAAGTTATGGATGAATTAATTGTTTATTATTATTATTTTTAATTTAAAATGAGTGTAAATTCTTCATTTATGAATAAAATGAGGAAAATATTGTATTTCATAATGTTTAGTTGATTTAGGAAGTTTTTCACCAAAATGAAAAGTTATGAGAGTAACCTACAAAAGAGGCAAATGTCAGGAGATATTGTGCCAATTATCCATAAAGTAACTATTTTAAAGTAACTTTATGTTATTATAAAAATAAGTAACTCACTTTTTATTGACTTTAATTAATGAAAAAGTTAATTCATTTTAAAATTTACTTATTTACATATAAGTATATTAATGTATCTCAATTCAAATAATTTTTTCCCTATTAATAATACTGTTTAAGCTCATCTCATAAAGGTGTTTAGAAGAGGATAAAAAACCTTGAATTATTTTTGTCCGATTATATTTATAGAGATGGCAAGGGAACACAGACAAACATTTTGTTCCTTGTCCATCGAAGATTTTCTAGAAATAGGGAGGGGGATCGAATATCTTCATTTACCATTCATTTACTTATTTATTTTTAATATATTTTAATTTTTAAGAAGATTTAAATTTAAAACTTAAAATAAAATAAAATATACTTCCACTCTGATTACCAACTATGCAAAATACTAAATAGAACTAAGACTCTGTTTGATTTAGATAAAATCAAATTTTCAAAAAATTTTGAAAAATGTTGATAGAATGTATGGTTGAAAAATTGTGAGTCGATGAAATGTATGATTAAAATTAAATTTTAACTTATATTTAAAGTGTCAATTTGACTTGTCAACTCAAGTTGAGCCACATTTTTAGGTGACGAGCTGAGCCTAAGCCAGCCATATGGCAGGCCCAAAATGGCCTATGACACGGGCCACATCCCTTCAGCTGCCTGCTTGAGGTGGCAACCTGAAGGCTAGCTTGTAGGAGGTTTAAGCAAGCAGGTAGCTGGCTGCCATGGAGGTGTAATAAAAAAAGAGCCGGTCTGGTGCTAAAGCTCGAGCTAATCCTTGATTTTAGCTCGCGAATCTGCTCGACCCAACTCATTTATATTCTTTCATATATTTTAATTCACTCTTGTAGTTGAGCCAAATAGGGGGTTAAGTTAATCTCTATTCGATCTAAAATGACATGTTACCCATGTTATATAGTTTAATACCTGTTTGTTTAAGGACCTACTTGAGAGTTTTTCTAATTGGTTTTGATTGATTTTGGGTGGCACAGTTCATGACGGATTCGAAAAATCGGTGCTTGGACACCAATTTTGGATGGTTTAGAATGCATCCTAAATCAATGTAATATAATTTTGACCGTTTCTCTTAATCTACCGAATTAGCAGATTGTGTCAATTTCTCATACCCTCTTATAATTTTATCCTCTATGAAATAAATATTCTTAACTAACATATTTTGTTCAAAATTAACTTGTAAATAAAAATACATTAACTAAAAAAATACATTAACTAAAAAAAATTATGTATTAGGAAAAATATTATTTTACAATTAAAAAAAATAGTTATATGTAAATAATTACTTCTAAGATAAATCACTTTGTGTAAAATACATTTATAAAATAAAAATACTATTAATAAGACAAAAAGTTTCTTTTATATAATATAAAAAAAAGTTACTTATAAGTAAAAATATACTTAACGTGTAAAAATTATTTTAATAAGTTCAAAGTTAACTTACAATTGTTAAATTTATTAATAAATAAAAAATACTAGTTAAAAAATATTAACTTTTATTTTAAAAAAATCCTTATATGTAAAATATCACTTGCGAGAAAAAAATTCATACAAAAAATTAAAAATTAAAAAATTCCCCAAGTTATGTTTGGTGGGGATTAAAATTAGATTTTTAGTAGATTTTCGTAAAAGTTGATGAAATATGTAGATGAAAAGTTGTGGATCCTATAAAATATGTGACTAAAATTAGTTGCAGATGTTGACTTATATTAAAATCTGAATTTTATTTTTCACTAAAGGGGGACTAAATAATATATCTGTAATTTTACTGTCTTAAAAAAAACTTGCAAAATCAGTTGATAATGAACTCCTAGGTTGCACTACTTTAAAAATGGAAAAATCTGATAAGTAAAAGTTTAAATATCACATATTTCAAAATCAAGAAAATAAATTTCAAATTTCAAAAATCAAATTTTTATTTGAACTTATTTATGATTTAATTAATTAATTAAATATATTTAGGTCATAGATCTATACAATTTGATCACAAAGTAAAAATTTAGTTAGTCACTTATTATTTTTTGGTCACAAATTAGAAATTTTATGTATCAAATTATTTTATGATCACAACTTAAAAATTTTATAAGTCACAATTTGTTCATTGGTCACAAATCAAAAAACTTATAAATCATGATTTATTTATTGGTTACAAATTACAAATATTATAAATAACAACTTATTATATAGTCACAAATTATCGGTCACATATTAACAAATTTTTAGATCACACATTATTTTGTGGCGATAATTTATCTTTTTAATTGGTCACATATCGTTTATTAGTCACAGATTAATCAATTTAATGGTTACAATCAACCAAGTCATCTATGACCACACCAACACTTATGACCACCACCTCACCACTGTCATCAAGTTAATCAATTTAATGGTCACAATCAACCAAATCTATCTGTTGAAAGTGAGTTGGGTGTTTAGATCGATGCCACTGCGATGGCGAAGCTTTGAGCGCCAACGTTGCCGTTAGTCGGGCTGATCACAGGGCGACCGACAATGTACAATGCCATGATCACGAAGATGAATTACAAGCACAGTTCTATCATGGAAGATGCCCGTTCCCCCCACTCGATCAAAGGGGAGCATAAGCCAGTTCTAAAGAGGAGAGAAGTGAGAGATGGCGTGAGAATGGAGAGGATGATTATTGGGGTTTTTGTATAATTAATTTATATATATATATTCACTAACTAATAAAATATCTGATTTTTGAAATATCAAACTTCTAACGTGATTTTAGAATGTTGAATATTTAAAGTATGGTTTGATGTAATTTTCACTTAAAAAATCGATACTAAAACCATTCAAAATTGATTGGCTCAAAAATTCCCCATGACATACCCAAAACTCCAAAGCAGGCCCTAAAGTAAATCCTAAATTTGGCTGTACGTACCCATCTTGCATATAAGTAGGTTGTAGCCCAACGCCTTTTCAACATCTGAGAAAGTGAAATGAAAGGCTGAGAAACGGGCTGTGTAGGTAAATTTGGGAGAACAAGAAAACTTACTCCACTTGTATTTCTCAAATTCTTACACTAGAGAGAGAGAGAGAGAGAGAGAGAGAGAGAGAGAGAGAGTATGGCACTAGAAGCAGTGATATTCCAGCAAGATTTGTTTGGGCAAAGTAGCAAAGATCTGTACAGCTTATACAATTTAGTAGAAGGGAAATGGGATTTTGAGCCTGATCCAATTCAAATAGCAGAAGAAACCTCTTTTGTAAGTGTTGAGAACAATCTGAATTATGTACTTCCTCATCATCAAGTGATGCAGCAAGATGCAAAGGAAGAATTTGCCAACACCGTATCTGTCAGAGGAAAACGACGTCGTTCGAGGATAAAAAAGAACGTTGAAGAGATTGAAACTCAGAGAATGACTCACATAGCAACTGAGCGGAATCGCCGGAAACAGATGAACGATTACCTTTCTGTCTTGCGTGCTCTAATGCCAGATTCTTATGTTCAAAAGGTCTCTCTCTCTCTCTCTCTCTCTCTCTCTCTCTATTTGCAAGTATAATAAAATGTAAATATGTCAAGAGCCTTACCTTTAACAAATAAAAAGTATAAATTCGATCGCCTTTTCGAAATATCAAGAATCCAACAAAATTTACTGCCTTCCAGCTAAAAAGAGATGATCTATTATATCTTCAACTCTCCTTCCGATTGAGGATGTCAGATTCACTTTTTTATAGACTCAATCTTTATAAATAGGTAATAACGAGACTTGAAATCAACATACGTGTACCACATTGAATCACAGGTTTTAATCTCTTATTTATTCATGTCTTTAACATATATATGTATTTCAGGGTGATCAAGCTTCAATAGTTGGTGGTGCCATTAATTATGTTAAAGAGCTGGAGCAGCAGTTACAGCTCATGGGTGGGCTGAAGAAGTATTCGAAAGAAAATCTTGAAACTGAAACATCATCATCGTCATCGTCATCACCATCACATCCGTTTGGCGAATTCTTCACCTGCCCACAGTATTCTACGACTGCGATGGCTATGGCTATGGCAGATGGGATGGAAATAGCCAAGGCCGACATTGAAGTAACGATGGTAGAGAGCCATGCTAATGTCAAAATTAGATCGAAGAAGCACCCGAAAAGATTACTGAAAATAGTTTCAGGGCTTCAAAATCTGAGACTTACCATTCTCCATCTAAACGTTACAACAGTTAATCAAGTAGTGCTCTACTCTCTAAGTGTCAAGGTCAGTTTTTTTCTACACCAAAAATTTCTCCAGTCACCTATGTTGAAAATGCAACAAAACGTGGCACGAAACCTAAAAAAGGGTACTTGTGAAAAGGAAACATTTCACTTTTTCAAGCTTCCAAATTAAATTTTGAATTTGTTTTTCCAGGTAGAAGATGGCTGCAACCTGACTTCCGTAGATGAAATAGCAGCTGCTGTGAATCAATTATTGAGCTAGAATGAACGGGAACAGTCAGATTGAACAAAATATCTCGATTCCAAGAATGAAGTGGCGAAATTTCATGAACAATCTGTTCTCTCTTATTTATTCACATTAGAAAGAAAATAAAAACACTAATATAATGCAATAAAAGAGAGAGAGACAATCGTGGTATTTGATTTCTTTTCTCTTTATTTATGTGAATTTTCTGTATTTTATCCTATATAAGAAAGTGTCCAGCATCTTGTTTTTGGGAGAGGATTCATTTCCACTTTGCAAATGTCATTAAGTTCCAAAGTTAGCATATTCAGTACGTAGAGTAGATTTAATGTTATTGGGCTGTATTAAGAATGAAAAAGAAATTAAAATCTTGTGTTATTTCAATGTCTATTCGTGTTTAGTACTGCGTGTTATTTTAAACATGTTATGGTTATTTGTTTCATTAGCTCATTCGTGTTCGAATATAAGTTAATCTTATGTTTAAGAATGTTATGTTTCAAGACATATTTGAATTTGTGGTTTTTTCTTATTTATTCATGTTCACATGAAGTTAACAATTACATCGAAATAAGAAATTTATAATTTTTACCTACGAAAAGATTAATGATTTAAATCTTATAACTTCTTAACCTAACTTGGGTTAATTTTTATAAATTAGTTATAAACATTAAATTATTTTTTATCTATACATTTTGTGGAATCACAAGTAATATCCACATAGCCGTAACTTATTCCCCTGAAGTTGTAAACTGATTTTAAATACTTCACAAACAAGCCTTTATATACAATATTAAATTTTATATATTTGTGAACTTTTTTTTTTTTTTTTTATAAATAATATGTAAATATTTATAGTGAAAAGCGATTCAAATATTTTTATTTGAAAAAAGTCAACTTTGGCCGTTAATTTTTTAAACCTTCCACCCTGAGTAAAACAAGTTCATAATTATTGCAAGTAAATAGTCAAAAGATATAATCAATAACTCATGATTACTAGTAATAAAATTTCACAAAAATAAGACAACAAGTGATGATTTAGAATCAAAATAGTGTCCACAAATTTTGAAAATTTAAAATTTTAAACCCTTTAATAGCTTCGACAGGAGTATTTTCATTTGTAGATCGAGGAATAACACGAGAGTACAATGTAATGTAGCATAACATATTTTGTAATACATAAAGATGAATTATATATACGATTTCATACCATGTGAAATCTAAAGTCTCCAGCTTTTAGTTTGTAGTAAATAAATATCCAACTTTTGAATTTTGTAGGAAGTGACAATTTCTATACGATTTCTTTTCCGTCCAAACGGTCAAAAGTATATTATTCAACCTTTTAAATCCACTAATCATCTCCAATTATCTCCCATGAGCAACACCACATAAATATACAGTGGTTAATCCATATAAATATTGCTATACAATCTTGTATTATTGGATTTGCACGTCATCCTCTAGATATAATATCAGACATACAATTCAATAAAATCTTTGTCGAATTATTAAAGTTAAGATCTATTAAAATATTGAGAAATGTATGTGGGACATATTTTTCTTGATTGAAAATTGTGGTATCAATTTTGTGAATAATGTTCTAAACATTCACAAGCTTGAACTCTTAAAAGAATAGAGTCTACATCACAACACTCTTTAGTGCCTCAAAGAATACGTCAATAAAAATGATTCATTACTCATTTAGGATTAAGACACGTCTCTACTAAATTTAAGTAGACATTACTACGTTAAATTTTTATGTATCTTTTTATACACAAATGTCTCTACTTGAAAACTAGAGTCAAAACGTTCACCAACGAATTGGACAACGATTTATTTTTTATTTTTTCCTTTTTTTCGATAGAATAAAATACAATATAACTAGCAAAATATTTAATATCAATAATCTATTTTGGAAATGTATAATGTTGAAAAAGTGAGGGTGAGAATGAAATATAATTGAATGATTAATCATTGAGGTAGTAATAAGCATTATTTTATTTACATGATGTGTAGTTAAATAAAACAAAAAGGTTATGAAATTTGATTTGACATTCCTTGTAAATATATATAGAACCAACGGCAAAGGATCTAATCCAAATTTGTTAAATCTTGTCATGCCTACCATTTCATTACCAGTTTCAAATGAGCACACTTCATACTCTTCGAGTATTATAATTTTTTTTTCACCCAAAATCATAATAAATACAAGGGTCTGAAAAATAAGCTTTATCTATTGGGGATTTTCAACTTAAATTTTCAGTTCACCAACGATATTTTCATTATTAACGATAGAAAATTTCACAGTGAAAGTGCACTGAGTGTGTTAGTGATTATGAAAGATGGAGTGATCCACCATCCAATTATTCATTGTATTATATGATAAGACACAAAAAAGAAAGGGATTCGTCAGCTGATCAATGAACAATTTACTATTTTTATAGGTAAAAATAAATAAAATAAAATACTTTTACTTTTTATAAGTGAAAAATTGATCTATATTTTGTGAAAAAAGTTAGATTACTTGTAAGTCCAAAATGCCCTTAATCACTAAGTAAATGCCATACCGCCGACCCCACAAACTGACAGTAAGAAAAGCGTTTGGCCTTTTTTATTTTGGTCACGGACCCTACAGGCTTTATTTTCTCATGCTTAGAAAATCAATAGGTACCCATGCTAAACTTCCATACAGGCAGTCATGTGAATGATTGGTAAGTGATTAAATTAAAATAAGTGATTATAATTTGTGGATTTTATTTTTATAGAATACGAGTATGATAAGTGAGTAATAATGAGGAGGAATGATCTAATTAGCACCCGTGTTCATTTTATGCTAAACACGATAACGTACCATATCAATTCATTAGTAGATAATAAATTTAATTCAAATGTAAAGACCCATCGAAACTTTTATTCACCAATGAACTGATATGACACATCATTGGATTTAGCATAAAATTAGCACCACTGCTCATTAGATCATTACTCTAACTATGAGTTCTATAAAATGTATAAATAAAAGTATGTTTTAACAAAAGTAATTATTAAAACTTACTTCCGAAACATGCTATGGTTAAATTCGTTGAAGGTTATATCTTTTAGTTAAATTCTAAGGATTTTTTCCTCAGTACAGAAAAAACTTACAGAATTCATACAGAATTTTGAAATGGAAAAATCATGTCCATCTGTGTTTTATGTTTTTCCCATCTTTAAATGATGTTTTGACATCTGTGTCCATGAAAAATTTTCTGTGCAAAACCCTATACTTTAATTTGTACCAGTTGGGTCATTGCACGTCATATTTAAACAATCAGTCGGAAAACCGTCAGTAGTTACAGACCACATAAACATTTGGCATGGAGTTGGAATAAGTGACCCAAATTGAAGTAAAAACTAAAGTATAATGACTCAATTGATAAAATTCAAGTGTAGTTTGAAATTTTGGTAAAAGTATAGTGACAGCTAGTGAAATTAACCCTTGAATATATCTTTGATGAATTTCAATTCTAAGGATCAATTCAGAGTATTAACCCAAATGTGTGTGTGTATATAAATATATACACACATATATTATTAAAAAATAGTCTACGTGGATATCATTCAACATTGAGAGTGGTCTTAATTGGGTAGTCCAACTTGAAAAGTCTTAAAAAGTCGTCAAACTTGTAACTTTATACCAAATTCTGTCGCTTCGTCATATTTTGTATAAACATTAGCATGAAATGCCACATTGGACGGCGTTCAGCCAGTTGTAAACATGGAAAAATTTAGTATAAGCATGTGAATGATTTAAAAGGGAGTGTTTGGATTCAGGATAGTGATATAACGGTCAAAAAATTGATTTTTGGGGTAAAAAATTGCTACCAAACTAAAACATAAAATTAAAAGGCTTGCTTTAGCCTCTAATTTGCATGAAAAATGACCTTACGTTATGTCTGGCATGTATTATCGACAAGCCAAATGCTCTTTGATGAATAATTCATTTAATATTGATATCAATCTTTTTTGATCGATTCAAGGTCCCTTAGCAATGAAGCTTATATGAAACCCTAATTTTGTGACTCCTTATCGCACCTTGAGATGGTCATGGGAATTATTAGGATACAAGGGCGGATGGGATTCGGGTTGTCAAGCGAGCTACCGAAGAATATAGTGCTTGCATAATATAGAATTATATATTGGTGATACTAAATAATATTAAAATAAATGAGATAAAGTGAAAAAAATTGTGAGGACTATGAGGAAGGAACTAACGAGATGTATTTATCACAAGTAAAGTGCTTTTATAGCAATGATGCCCAGATATAAGGAGACAAGAAACTGTAACTGAAAGAATGGAAAATGGGCCAAAGTGGATGTTTCTTCACATAAAGTTTCACACGAGGATCAATAATTGTTTTCGTTTAATATTCTGTTTTGAACATTTTAATAAACCATTATTGAAATTTTAAGAGTCAAGGACATATATGATTTACCAGTTGTCTCGTATATTCAACAATTTCAACTTTAAGTTTGTAAACAGGGAAAATTCTATCATTAGTTTCTAATTTATTGATTTCCTCGCAATTTCCTCTCTAACATTTTTCAGAGTAGTGTCAAAACTGAATAGCTTGTAGTCCAGTTGATTTTTGATTATGGATTTCGTCGCTTTAATTGTGAACAAGTTACTTTTTCGTTGAAAGCGCCATTTCTTACGAATTTTTAGTTAAAATAATTGACTTGATGACGTAGTCTCTTAGGCATGGGATTACTATGCTAAATGTGACCATCCGAAAACAAGTTACTAGGCTGCTTTGTGCGAGCAATTGGTTGCATTCTTCGTTCGATTTTTGATAAACTATTTGTTGAACTCTAAATTCATCATTTTTTTTTAAAGTAGCTAATTTACTTCGTTTTTAAGGGAATTCAATTCTAGATATTGAGGATTAAAAGGTGAGGAAATTAGATATTGTTGGACGAAAGTTAGAAGGTAAAGGAAAGATTGAGCAGCTTCACCTCTTTAAAATCTTGAGCTAGTTTAGTCGGTGTTGACCTCACAAATTGGACCCTTCACGTGGCCAACCGATAGCTGCTCCACGTAATCCTCCTTGCGCACAGTCAACGCACGGTCAGATGCACACGTTCGGAACCAGCGGGGGTGGCGGTAGTCACATACACTCCGACAATCAAGTTAGCTTCTGGTGATCGGAACAGTACCAATATTGTGCAAAAAGGGTGGGGAGGAAAATGTATATTTACTTGTTATGGAGAGCTAAATTGTAAGAGTTTCATTACCTTTGCCTCTTGTTAAACATTGAGTATTTATAGTTGAGGAGAACCGTTAGATGTGAGACACGTGTATACATCTGACGGTGTGAGACGTCTGCTCATGGACGTCAATCAGCAGCGTCTAT